GGCGCAGTCGGATCAAGAGTTATGGAAACTATAGGATAGTCATGAGGAGGATTGTTATATATATATGTGTGTGAGTGTGTGTGTGTGTCAAAGGCACCGAGAGGTTTCAGGGTTGCCTCTAGTTAAGTAGTTTATTGTTATTGTTATTGGGCTCAATTAGGCTTTTGGATGATTAGGCCAGGGCACTGTGATTTTATATGTATGATGATTTAAACTCAATAATTAGTCTTGTATGAGAAAGTTAGGGCCAACATAGGGCATTGGCTTAAATCCCTGACTATTGGAACCTTCTCATAGTGCATTGTCAGTCACAAAGCATGAAAAACCTACTCTTCTAAGGATCCACTAAGAAGAGGTATGCACATGTGCCAATAGAGGAATCCCAACACCTTGTGTATGTATATCCTCTAGGGGGTACACCTGAAATGCACCATTGGTTTGATTTTGTTAGGGGTCATGAGTCTATTAGGTAATATATTGAGAAAGTGGCTTTGGATTCAGTGCATAGCCAAATGGAGTGTTCATATTCTTAATTCAACTCTATATGATCCTAATATCCCTTGAAAATATTTTTAAATATTGTGAAAATGGTTTATTTTGATAGAAAATGATTAGAAATATATTTTTGTAGATTAAAGGTTACATCAACAAATATTTTGAAAATAGTTTATTTTGATAGAAAATGATTAGAATGACTTTTTTGTGGATTCAAAATTATACCGTCAGTAAGGCTATAAGTCCACATATATGAGATAGTTTCTCTCTCTATAAGCGTAAAATTTGAGATAGTTTCTCTTTCTATAAAATATTGATATAATTTTTCTCTTTAGAATCTATAACTTTAAATTTGAGACTAAAATTTTTAAGACAATTTCTCTCTTTACAAGTTTGAGATTTGATGTAGTCTCATTCTCTAAAAATTTTAATTGTTTACAAGTCGACTCCACATAGTTGGGATAAGGCTCTGATGAGAGATAAATTATCTCAAATACACATATAGTATTTTCGTCCTAAAAATACTGCTCTTTTACTTGGCAGATAGATGTAATATTACATGGTATTAGGTTAGTAGTGCATTTTAAAGATGTTAGGCAGTCCATTGTATTTAGGGGATATCTATAAATTTCCCAAAAGATTATGGAAAAGTATATAGTGAGACCATTTAATTTTGGTATAAAGAGGTCACAAACGCTATTGTCTACAAAAATTCAAATTGGATGGTTATAAGAGTGTCATTGACTATATTCAAAGTTTTAAAATTTAATCACACTTCATAATATACATAAGCTATCTACTTTGACATCTAATGGCTATAAGTAATGGGTAAGCTTTCCATGCTTCCCCTACAATATAAAACTTATATTCTTCCCCTTATCTAGCCGTCCATTTTGAATGGAGACCTAAGATTGCCCCAATCACAATGTCACATCTCTACACTATTTTATTTTTTCTATAAACTATTTTGACACCAACATCCAATCCTCTATTAAACTCGCACTAACGGATAATATAAAAAATGTATATTTTCAATAAAAAATGACCAAAAATACCCCTAAAAAGTTTTAAGGGTATTTGGTTATTATATTTTACTTAAAAATTATTTGTTTATATTTTTTATAGGTGCGCCCTAGTGAGAAGATGACATATACCAAATTTCATATTCATACAATTTGTATAAAAAAAACTAAAAATAAAATACTTTGGACAGCTAGATAGTAGGGGAACTATAGATCTTCTATAATGTAGGGGAAGTACATAAACCCTTCGCATAAGTAATTGTGACTTCCTTGTAATAAATAAAAATAGTCTCGTAATAAACAATCCCAAAGATTATACTAGGGGAATCTCAAGTCGATTTGGAGTCCTGCAGCAAGTTAGTATATTAAGTGGAGAAAATTATAAACATTGATCACCATCCCCGACTAAGAAAAAAAAAGAAGAAGAAGCTTTTGATACCACATCCTAAATCGTAACATTATTTTTTCTTATCAACTACTCTCTAAGTAAAAAGTGATTTATTTTAACCAAATACACATAGGCGCATTTAAATATAGAGCCGATTTAAATATAGAGCCGATCAGGTGCAGTTTTTTGTGCTTAAGAGAAAGAGAGTAGAAAACATGGTCTAAAAAGATGGAATTTTGGTCCAAAAACCTTTTTTTTTTTTTAACTTTAAGGGGTTTTTGTAAATGATAAAAACTGTTAAAACCCCCATTGATTCAACTTTCTTAACATCATCACCCTCAAAGACCATCTTAAAACACTAAAAAACCCCAACAACGTTTTCTTTTGCACTTCCCCTGTCAAAAAAATTAATAAAATTATGACCAAAATACCCTTCTTTGCCATCTACCAACATATCCATAGTACTGGTCCAACACTATGAAATGAATGTATCGAATAGGGAGTGAATTCATTTTTCAGTATGGCTGCTGGGCCAGCACTATAAAATCAATGTGTCGGACTGGTCTGATATATTTTTCGTGACATTCTAAAAAAAAAGAAAAAATATATATTATAAGCATAAGTCAAATGGGGATATTTTGGTATTAAAAAAAATTAAAAAAACGAAAAGAAAAGAAAAAACAATTTTAGTGGAGGAAGTTAAAAATGTTGTGGCAAAGGTGGTTTTAGTAATTTTCTCAAATACAAAAGGCTTACGTCCAAGAATTTTTGGGAGTAGTATGCCTGGAAAATAGGTCCACGTCCCAGATATTGGAGCCATAGTTTCCCAAGTCCGAAGAGTCGCAACTCGTGAGCGCGCGTTCGCTTCTGTGTAAATAGACAAGCATTTGTACATCATATTTTTGGAATAAATATTCATTCTTCAGTAGAAATGTCATTCGGGGTTTTTCGTGCGTTGTTTATTTTTCTCTCATCTTTTCTTGCTCCTGTTTTCTTCTTATGCTTTTCTCTCTCATCCTTGCTTTCCTGTCACGAAATTATATGAATCAGAGGGGGAAGAAGGGTTAGGTTTTCAGATATCAAAAAATCCAGTAAAGAGCCCATGTCCATGGAAGTGGCTTCGAACACCGCTCCACCTCAGTTGGCCCCTCTTATTGCTGCGCAGCTTAATTATCTCCTCATTCACTCTCCTCTCACTCTAAAGGTACATCGAAATATCTCTGATAGATACTGGCCAAATGTTTCTTCTTTCTCTCTGTGTTTTACCGGCATCAAACAAGAGAAAAGACAACAAAGAAGTGATTTGCGTGTAACAACGAATTTTTTTGTCATATCGAACTATATTTGTTGTTTCTTATTAAATTTGTGGATTCAATTCATATTTTGCGGGAAACCAGTTGTCAAAATTCTAATAATGCAGAAGGATTGTGATTTTGCCATGGCTTTGGTCTGTAGCTTTGTATGGGGCCTATTTCAAATTTACATGGCAAATGCGGCCGAAGTTATGCAAATTGTTTTGTGTATGTGATCTCTTATGGATGTCCCTTTGATCCTGTTCATTTCGAGATTTATATTGGAGTTTCAGTTTGCATGTTCTTGAGTATCAGTGGTTTGAGCTTAGCATTTGATAGAGTTAGATTAAAATGCATTCTATTTTTCATTTATTCAGGAATTTAGGAATTATAGAGGCAAAGAATGATTCACTTGGTCCTTGCTTGTCGAATATCTCTCTTTTGCTGTAAACTTGTAAAACACAGTGTAGTTCACTGACAATTGGAACTGCACAGGTTGATCAGGTATGGTCTGGCTGCAAACAGCCTATTTTCTCAGACCGATTTACTTTACTTGTACCATACTGCCTAGATTACACAAGATGTGAGTAGTCTTCCTGATTTGTATATTTTTGACTTTTTGTCTGCTTCTTTGATTGCAGAAGTATATTATCACAAAATTCTATTCTAATGATAGTAGATGTTTGACTTTTTAAGGGGATATTATATACAATGCGGTATACCCTTTGGCTCCTCCGGATGTCATTTTTGCACCAGAAGATGAAAACTTTCACCCCCTTTCATATGTCACAGAAGGACAAAGTGATAACAATACAACCATAAGTAGTTTGTTGGATTGGAATATCAAAGATCCTTCGAGGTTGTTATCACTTGTTCATGGACTCAGGTTAGACCTGAAAACTTGGATTGAAGTCAATATAAATGGTCATTAATTTGTTTTATGGCATCATTGCATCCAACACATGCATGACCTATTATAGTTTTTGTATTTATGAATGCCTTTGTTTTGAAATTTTATGGCTAAGTGTCTTTTTTTAATTGCAAGAATAAGTAAATTTTTACTGTGGAACCATGGCTAGGGATTTGTATGTGGCTTATCAAAGGAAGCGTGTTGGAGAAATCGATGATGCAAGATTGAAGTTTGAACTCAGTACCCTTATTTCCAGGGAGGTACTGTAGTCCTTCCGAAACTATCCTGAATTTAACTGGAATTATAAAACTTATGTTCATAAGTTTTTATTTGAATTTTAAGTTTTAGGGAAATTTTACTCTCAAGTTTGCTAGCTTGATGATTGTATTTACCCTATGTGAACAAGATGTGCTTCCATGAGAATGGGCTTCAGCCAGAGGTGTTCAGGGTGGCAGGTGCCACAAACTGATGTCTAGTGTTCCATACTCAGCAGCTCTCAAGTTAACATTCAAAAAAAGAAAAAAAGATGTGCTTCCATGGTCAAGTGATGAATAACAACTAGTTGAGACTTGCTCAGCTCTTGTCATGTTTAATTTATAATTGCCATTATGTTAAAGCATGTGGACTGGTGCTTCATGGGTTGACCTCTTGCATTCATTTTCTTTAATTCATGCTTCTTTTGTAACTCCGGCTAGAGATGCTCAACCTTAAATAATTATTTGAAACTTAAAAATGCTATGAAGAAAATGCAATACAATACTCTGTTTTGAAAATGTAACGAAATATTCATTTTCACCCGTAACAAATTTAGCTGGGTATACTAAGTTGTGAATTACAGATGATCCTAGTTTTTTGCCTTACATGATAAGTTTCCACTTTTTTTTTTTTTTTTAAAATTTTTTTTAAAATTTTTTTTTTTATTGAAATATTTGTTTTGAAAACTACACATTAGTGCCTTGCCTGGCTACAATTGGCCCGGAGATTTGGATATTGGTGTAACTGATTGTAAATTCTTGACCTTTTAGCTGCACCTCCAGCTTGTTTGTGTATTATCTGTTTTCCCATGGCTCATTATGTTGTTGCAACTTTTCCTGGACTAGTTAAATCATTTTTGTAATTTGTGAGAGCACATGCCAATGATTTTAAAATCAAAATTTGGATATTGGCAAACTGATTGTAATCCTTAACCTTTTGGCTCCTCCTCGAGCTTGTTTGTGTATTAATTATTTTATGAGTATTTCTCCAGATGACTAGTTATGTCGTTTCCTAGAGTAGTTAAAATCATTGCTGATAATTTTACAGTAGACAGCATGGACTTTTGCTTAAAATTGTCACAATTACTTTTGTTTTGGTGCATGGAGCGATGTGGTGGCTGGTCTTAGTTTACGTTAATAATATAATCTTAGGCAATCGACAAGCAAATATCACATCAATTCTTGAAATGATTAAGCTGCTCTTATGCATAACTATTCTTTTCCTTGGGTTGGTTTTTAAATGCTGATTCCTTTATTTAGCTCCTCTCTCCTGTTACAGGGTATTGAAGTGTGTCTAATTTCAGAATCTGATAAGGTAAATCTACTTTCATACATCTATATCCTACCTGTCTAAATTTCTTGAGATATCCATTTGTCCGTCATCAGCATACTCTTAACCAGCAGCCCCCCCCCCCCCACCAACAAAAAAAAAAAAGAAAAAAAAAGAAAGAAAAAGAAACCTCTTTTATGAAGTGGGAAACCTCCCTACAAATTAGAATTCCACAAACTAAAATTCTAATACATAAGGTTTCTTACATATCTTTCTCTCTCCTATTTGAGATTAAGATAAACTTTTATTGTTTGTCTGCCTTTTTTTTTATTTATTTCTAAGACGTACACTTTCTTGCTTGGTGGAAGAAACCACTTTCTTAAAAGATAATTTAAGTATGTTTTATTAAAAAATCATTTTTTAATTAGGAATTTTCATTACGTTTTTCTTTTTGCAAAATATAAAATAAATGGTCTTGAATTAATTTAATCCCAACAAATATGCTTTCTTTGCATTTGGATAGAGTCCAAAGAAATATGCTTTATTTGCAATCTTGGGTGAAGCTTTGTGAAGATAAATTCTCAAATTAAATGAATTCCCATAGTTTACTGTTTCCAGGGTTCATAAGAGATGGCTTTTTTGAATGTAATTATTGTAAAAATAATTTGTGCCAATTTAAAATAAGATATTTGAAAAAGGTAATGTGTAAGTTGATTGGTTGCACTTGTGCAATTGTGCTTATACATTACACAGGTTGTGGACTATTTATATGCTATATTTGTTTTGGAAATAATTTTTTTATGCAGTTCCTTTTTTTTATCTGCATATATATATGACCCATCTTTACATTCTAATGTAGCCTGAAGAGGTGAAGTTTGCTGTCCCTTTATTGGACATGGACTTGAATAAACTGGTGCACGGGTGCACTTGGAAACACCAACAAAAGATTTACGTACAGGTGATATTTGGCATTTAAAATTTTTTTTTTGTAAGTGTTGTCAGTCTTCATGAGTGTTATGCACAGTATGTCACACTTTGATCTTTTCATGCATACTTGTTCTGTAGATTGGGGTTTCAGATAGAAATGAATATATCATGGAATTCACTTGGTAGAAATGTTGTCTCAAGGATTGCCTATTTCCTTCCTTCCCATGTATTATATTGAACAATGAATTGGTCAATCCAGTCAAACACATCCAATCATTATGTATTCCCTTTGAAACATGGTGTATATCTTTTTAACTTGTGGGATTCTGCAAATATCACATGAATTCATAGTAAATTGTGTATCAAGTTAGTGTTTCCAGTAACAATTCAATGATTTCCGACATAAGGACTAATTTAACCTTTCATGTCCTGGTTTCCTTTCATTTTTTTTTCAGTTTACTTCGGGAACTGAGTCAGCTTGAAAATGTGTTTTATTTCTTTTATTGCTGTACCATTTTTTGTCGAATCTTGTTTTTGTTTTCTGTGAAGCTATTCCTCCTGAAGCTTTTTGCAATTTTTGTAAGATAACTGCAGTTAGGTCATAACTTGCTGTTTTTGTTTTCTGTGAAGCTATTCCTCCTGAAGCTTTTTGCATAGCACTTCATAACTTGCATAGCACTTCGTAATAGCTTTCTTACACAATCGCCTGATGTGTGGTTAATTTATTGTTGTTTTGGTTTCTCTGCCCAACACTCAGGTACACACACATGCACATAGAGCATTTTGAGCCTTACTTGTGAACTGGCTAAGCAGAGTCTTTGGTTTCCTTAGATAAATGCTATATTTGAACCCTGGACCTAGAGGTTAATAACTTAAGATGTGAGCTCAATGCCCTTGACTACGTTGCCTGTGTTCAAAAATCTGGAATGTACTCTTTTATTATTAGGTTCAGTCTACTTAGTATTTATGTTACTCGCTCATTGGCTTTTGAAAATGATAGCAACAATTGGAGTTTTATGTTGGAGATTGGGATCTGTTTGAGCCATTGAGGTTCACATCTATATTAGAGAGTTTAGTTAATGATAAAAGATTATCGTTCCTGTATGTGGCTTCAACTTTTCAAAGTGATGGTTAAATGTTAATACATAGCTACCTAATACTATATTTTCCTTGCGCTTGTTTTATGTTCTTGATGGTTGAGGCATGCAGGTTGTATTTCTAGTTAGCAAAAAATATTCTTCTGTTCCGTCTGCTCCTCATATCAAACTAGTCGCTTCTTCAGAACTGAAGTCATTATTCTCCATTGAGGATATCAAGCTTCCTGTCTGGCTAGATGGAATGTAAGTTGATTTGGTAATACTAATTAAGGAGTTTCTGGAGTCAGATTTTTTGCATGAATTCACTCTCTATCAAATGCTGCACAATCGATGCTTTTTTAAATTGGCTACAGTAGGCTACTTATCATTGTTCTGTGTGCATCTCTTTTCCTGTTGTCTCTTTAGGTGCATGGCTGAATACCTCCCTATGCTGGAAGAAAATCTCAAATTGCAGGTTTGAAACTGTTCTCTATTCCTGCTTCCCATCCGATTTTCTGAGGAACTTCCACATTCCTGCTTGTTTCCTATTGCATATTGAGTTGGGATGTATTACACCATGCATATGCAAGTAAATTTGTTTGGATACATTGATTAAATACTTTGATGCTATGAGAATGTTGAGTATTTTCTGCAAATTTGCAGAATAGCTTGCTTTCTTTCCAGGTTTGACATGAGAAGTAACTGTACGTGTGAAAGTGGTAGTAGATTTTTTTGATAACTAGATTATGGGATCCCAAATAGGGTAAACAAGAGAAAACGCCCACAAAATCATTGCACAATTCTCAAAGAATATGAATTTCAATATATATATATATATATAAATATAAATATGTATATATATACGTATATATATGTATATACGTATATATACGTATTTATATATACGTATATATACATACATGTATATATATACATACGTGTGTGTATATATATGTATATATATATATATATATATATGGAAAACTCTTCCCAACGCCGATAGGCGAAAATGAACAGTGATTTCGCCTACCTTCATCACCATTCAAACTTCATCGCATGGTCACAACTGTCCAGTAGTGTTTCAATTTTCATTTTTTTTCTAAAATTCAAATGACTTGAAATTTAGAGCGTGTGTACATCTTATTGAGGCGCAGCTAATAAAAATATGAAAAAAATAATTCGCAAAAT